CGGAGTTTTGCAGATATCTCAGCATTATATACGAGTTATATTTCGCAACATACCCTGCCATTAAAAAGAAAATGGCAGTAAATAAAAGGGTTGAGATGCCTAGAGTCTTCGGCATCACGAAAGTGAGGAAAGTGATCCCAAGCTTCGACCTGCGTGAAGATCAAGTATTAAAGATGCCTTCATTACGCCAAACGGTCGAAGATGGGTCGGATATGTATTGCGTATGGACGACAAACGATATAATAGGGACTCCATAGTGAATGGACTTTTCAGTATGTCAAACGTGCTGTAGAAAGACCACCGACGCGATGGTCAGCGTTCTTCATCAAAACCATAGAAGAACTATATGATTCTCAACGTGTCCCTATAGGGGGAAGAACTTGCTGGGCCACTCTTGCACGCGACAGCGAGAAGGGAAGTATTAGCGGCTCCCGCTTGAGTCACTCGGCTGTCATCGGGACGACAGACGACAAGTGATGATGTTTCTTCTATGAAATTAGATACCCTTTTCGTGATTACCAATTGTCAGCTTTCCTCCGTTTGTATGATGTATTGAACAAGATGTATAACATTATGTATCAAAAATGCTTGATAAAAATAATCGACAAGAAATTTCCAATGATACGGATTTCTTTCATCTTAGGAGGAAATTTTCCATCATATGAAGATTTTAGTGGTTCATAATATTTATTTCTACATAAAGAAAATTTGTTATTTAAATTTAAAAACGTTTTAAATAAACAGGTTGCTATTGATCTCTTAAAAACAAAAAGTTATAGAGGGTAAAGCGCTTGGAGCTGAACAATCATCTAAGCATGTTCAGTGCATTCGGCTCCATTCGTGGCATCGGATGAAATGGTTGAATTCATGCCAGGCTCCGCAGGCGCCGTTGATCTATCAAGTTAGTGTTTCTTATTAACTAAGACGAGTGTGGCACCAGTTTCCCAGCCTCGAAAGGTTGATGATAGACACAACTAACCTAGGGCGATGGGATCGAACTATTGAAAATTTGCGTGTAGCATGTCGACTCTAATCACTGCGCTATATGAGATCCGAAAATGATATCATATGAAAACAACATCTTTCCCCATCTTCAAAGGTTGAGCTGAATAGTTCGAAGAATCAAAGACTCTGATTTAGATGGATTAGTAGAAATTCTTAAAAAAGAAGTCTTAGAGACGCTTTTTTTTCGTGGTCAGAGTTGCAGTCAAAAAAATAGATGATTATTTAAAAGCTCTTTCCAATAATTAATTCATAAGAAAGAGAACACCTAGCAGTTTTTATAGCAAAAAAGCAATCCTAGTGATAGAGACAGTTTTTATTCCAAACCGGAAGTAGCAATCATAGTAAATATGACTGCGAAAAACAGTATAACGCTATTAAATAAAAATAAGACCAGCAAAATTGGACGGCGCTTTGCTCAAACTTGACAAATGTTCAGATTAAAGTGAAAAATTTGATTAAAAAATCGATATATTTATTGCTGGTGGATAAATAGATAGTCCAACTTCTGAACAGCTTTTCGTCGTCGTCGTAGTCGAAGTCGACCTCAGGGATGACCGAGGAATTAAAGCGGTCGATATTGGATAAGCGATTTATTCACACTTTCCGCAGTTCCATCTTTTATTTTTTCATTTCTTTCTTTCCTTTTTGTTCTTTTAGGTATCACATGTAGGACGCGCATCGTATGCCAACAATCTTCACTTATTGGTTCTCATATTGCTGTCAATGGAAAAAGTAGCTTTCTATATGTGTCATGGATTCGACGTGTTCAACTTTGCACAGAATTTCACTCGCTAGACAATTACCTTGTCACAATTTCCCTATACTCGAATATTAGAGTACATGCGGAATTTTCATTAGGGCATATCTACAAGGACTGCGACACTACGGATATGATGACATCAAGAGCATTGCTGTATGCCATTCAATCGTGGAGGATTTTGCTTGAAACTCATCAAATCGACGATGTCCGAGATGTTTTCGTAACTATTTAATTCTTATTAGTTAGGAAGGCAATGCCACTACTTGGAGTACTAGAAGGCTTGAACTACCTGTCATTACCAATCACCAAGAATCACTGCTAATTGGCTAGTTGAAGGAAATTTTCGTTTCTTTGAAAGCTGTGCTATGCCTTTACCATGTCGTCACCATTTGTGTGAAGTTGAGTGTATTGTTGATGCCGTGGTAATGATTCATTGCACTAGTTCACATTTGGTTAAACGCCATGATGGAAATGTCAAATTCGACCTCAGGTCGGGAAACTCCGCTGGGAAGTTGAGTGCCTCTTCCGCTCTACACTGCAGTTTGACAAGCAAAAGTATATCAACCAGTCACATTAAGCCATTCAGCCGCTGAGAAAATATCGTTATTTGTTTTGTGAATCTTACTTTCATTATGCCGGTGTAATGCATAAAAAACTGGGCAATTGTGTTCTAAACGTTTTGCTGTGATCTCAATGAAGAGTTGATTTGCTCCTTCTTGTAGTAATGTATTTAGGTGACTTTTTTAAATTCTTAAATTCCACGTTATAAATAGACGAAAAGGGAAGGAGGGCGATGATGCCCTTTGTGCTTTACATGTACGGATATCGCTATGGTATGACGATGAAGGCTTTCTCTATTTCCCGTACGTAAAACTGTCTTTATATTCATGCACATTCTTCGCCTTACTGGATGACCATCGAATTAGAATAAAACACTGTGGAAATATCTTTGAACGGCAGTGAAATATCCCTGTGGCAAAATTTATGTGATCCGTCTTATCTCATTATTTCACTCGTCTTTTTATCTTAGCAGGGGATTTTTTTTTGGTGCTGAAATGCGGCTTATAATTTAGTTTTGTATTCCAGCAGTAAAAATCATGAAGATGTTTGCCATTTTACTTCGGAAATCTTGCTAAGTGTAAAACTGCGTCACAAAGATTTTGCTTAGCTGCATATTGCTCCGTTTTTTTTCCAACAAAGAAAATCTGAACGACCATGCCTCGTCTGAGAAATGTGATTTTCGTCTATGGCATCTGGATGTCGGCCTGAGTCACATGATAAACAAGGTTACAGTAGTCGATGAAGGCAAAGAGGACTGTTAGTTCCACGTAGAATCTTATCGTTATAAAATAGACAATGTTTACACATGTTAGAAGTTGTTCTTTATTCTTAGCCGAAAGCACCTCTTAACTTTGGAGTCAAAGCTTGGAATATGACTTAACCTTCTTTTTCATTGTTCAAACTGCTGACAAGCTTACCCTCGATAATGTTGATATCTTAGTACAATGCTATTAGATGCTTGACACTCAAAAATAGCCAATTCAAGCATTTTCTAGTTAGAAGATCTCATCACTCTGATTTCTGTTGGTCGGCCACGTCTTGATGTTGTTTCAAATTGATGGATTACACATAAGCGAGGAGTCTGGATAATATTCACCTTCTATTCATTGATCTGTTGCAACACAGTATGGGAGATTACCTTTATAATTATGATGATTCGAAAAGTAAAAACCATATTACGTCATTCTTTGCTGAAGCAGAGTTTTTTATATGATCCACGAGATGTGTGCTCAGCCTGGGTGAGTGTGTTATACACACAGTGTAATGTTCACGTTATGTAGCGTATCTTAAACGATGATGAACGTTTGTCGAAACAGTTCCGCTGCTCAGTTAAATTATTCTACATCTCCGCAACCCATTTCCATAACATTGTTGTGAAAGTGAACTTCATATCTCTTGATGTGCTCCGTTTATCAGTCTAGTACTGGTAGCCACACTACCATTCGACTTATCTGAGTAGTCGAAGAAGAGTAACTGCAACACTGCGGCACAATATTTTAAACAGCTTTAAAAGGAATTTTAGATGATGATCGTTGACACGACTGTAGTACACCGAGCACTACGAGGCTGTTCAGTTTTCGTTGTCGTCCTACCGAGCAGGTGACTAGATCGATCGATTTCATTTCACATCACCCAGCGTTTTTATTCTGCACAACTCAATCCCTTAATTATTTGTCTCCCTCCCATTGACAACGTATTTCGGTCTATTGATTATTTGATGCGATTTAGCATAAACGGTGCCTTTATTAAATATCATTCACTCTGTTGAACAATCTGCACTAAGCAGAAGTTGAAGCTGTCAGCGTGTGCGCTATTCGCTAAAAAGACTATGTAGGTGAACCGTGCTGGTAAGCGAAACCGAAGACGAATTGACATAAGCGGACCGTTGAACAATTTCTTTCGTAGAATTATTATGGCAGTTTCTTTCCAACCGTTTCCTACTTTACCGTGTCGAAGGTATTTACTTTATTGCGGAACGAATAATTCACAGCATGAAAGTCATCAACCCATGAGATCAGCCATGCTGAAGAATAACTTAATATTTCCACCGGTACCCTAACTAGTGATAAGCATTTCAATAAATTTAATAGACAGAAAAAGATTTCAGTCGTACAAGCTTTTCACCAATCTACCAGATTCGGCCGCGATCTGTATACGTTTTCTGCGAATAATCTGATATAAGTCTCTCATAACTTCAAAAGGGGAAAATTTATATGCTAGCAGTGAAGTAAATGTCAATGGTGATAGATACTGCGCTGAGATTCACATCAACTATTGGCGATGACGAACTGATAATCCACGTATCAAAAACTAAGTGATATAAAAGAATGTTAACTCAGATTTTTTTGAACGAATCATTTTGTGCAATCATTTTTGAGATCCCATTGTCATATCCTGCATGAGCTGTCTCGTTGAACGAGTTTTTCAGCATGCAATGTAATTCTACTGCTTCATTTTCATTTGTATACTGTTCCAAATACGATTTCCCTCGTGATTAGTTAATCACACTTGTGACATCAACAGAACAGTTCCAATTCAGTGCAAATATGACAATATTCATGCTGAAAATGTGCTATTCATTAAAGTTTGGCGAAACGATCGAGCAACTTACCTTTGTTGACCGATCAATGGTAGACATAATTCTGTTGGTGGTCTCCGTGATATGTTTTGAAGAATGGCTGTTAATGGAGCAGATGAGAAAGCTTTCCTAAGACATGCAATATGTCTCGTATTTGATTTCACTACTCATTTGTTTCGTATTGTTCTCCTATTATCTACTTTGTCAAATTCCTCTACATTGCTGTCATTATTCTAGTGACCAAATGACTTTTTGGGATTTATGATGGTCTAAACCATTATTTCGTACCAAAATGACATTCGTTAAAAAGCAAAATATTATATTTGTTAGTGTAGACTACTAAATGTCTTCAATTAAAGTAAAATATCGTGACTTGTCGAATTTTTTATCCCTTGTTTCCATGCGCCGTCGCTTATCTATTCTACAAGCGAAGCATTTTTTTACGTCATAGATGTATTGTGGCTGTTTTGTTAGAATACTACTCCTGTTCCGCAGTAATGTTTAAGCAAACTCGCTTCGATAGATAAAAAAAATATAGGCAGTAATTCTGTGCAGACTCTGATATATCTTATAATTCAGCGGAAAACTGCTATGTACTCCCGTTAGATGCAGGATTGATATGCTGTGTGCGTTCTACTTAAGTGCAGTAATACTACAGGTTAGTTGACAGTTTTTCAGTTTCTACACATTTGTGAATGAGGTACAGTTTTTTTGAAGAAAATGAATTGAGAAAAAAGAATAACAGTTACCACAAGGTTGATATGCCCTTCTAATGGAATAGCCTTCTGCCACGCATGACCAACACGATAGCCCAAAAATAGTCAGGAGGAGATCACATTTACAACAGTAGAGCTCGCGATCGGAAGAAAATCGTTTTTTATTGAAAGCCGAATGACGAGCTACGGCGGAAACCACTATCGCCGACCTTTTTTCACCCATCTCAAGAGATTGATCTAGAAAAAGCCCAAATCCGTGCGAGATCACAGTTGCTGTTCGGTCACTATAGACACCAATAAAGACGAACTGTCCAGCATGGTTATTCTAGGTGCTTTGGAAAGCTACTTTCTCAATAAGTATTGATTAGTCGTGTTTGGCACGACTGTGTGGTTGCAGGCTACCATGAAGCGTAACATGCATTCGGTATTGATAAATCTGTACGAAGTTTAACATGCCTCCGGCGTCACTAACCATGTTGTAGGTGACTGGATTCAAATTTTCCCCATACATTGACTTCCGGTTGCTGAGCCGATATATAAAGTCAGTGCTACAATTCTTCCTGACAAATCTTGCCTACTATTGCCTACTCTAGTAGAATAAGAAAATTACTGAGCCTTTGACACAGAAACGGGCCAAAACTGAATCCTTAACCACTGTTACAGCAGCACACTTGTAACTACTACGCTGTTTGCCCATCTTATGGTTATCTCATTTGAGGGAAATAAACTGCATAAGTAAAACCAACTGCCAATTTTGTGAATCGTTCCTAGATAATAAATCTGCTTTAAATTATATGACTTAGTTAACACGTCTTTTCACTACATTTAACACTTACAATACCAAAATTTGCTTCGATACTACAATAACTAGAAGGCTTGAGGTTTGTGAACATTATAGCGTTATACAACAAGCTTTCATACTTCGCGGTAGATTATGAATGGTTCGCATGTTACTAGTCGCCATATGTTATTGTAGTTCACAACAAAAAAATTTCTCTTACCGTCTGAAAGTGTTTTTCAGCATTATTCCGTATTCTTTTACCCGCACCCATTCTATACAACAACTATGATTTCTTATAGCAGCTAGCCGGATGAGATGAGGCGAGTGTGGCGCAGTGGTTGGAGGCGCCACTGAGCCACACTTGGAATCGATTCCCGCGCCCATGGCCCACCAAGCCTTCCATCCTTCCGGGGTCGGCGAATTGGTGCCAGACCTGTTCGGAAGGATAACAACACCGGCTTGATACATCGGCAGGCCACCGCGAGCCACTGTAAAGATATGCACTCAATCACCTCCAACGATACTTAATGAACTCGAATGCATGGCGCATCCCTCAAGGATTGATCAACGCCGAAAACGTTATCCTTTATCCCTCATAGCAGCTAAAAGTCAGTTTCCAGTCAAATAGCCGGTGAATGAGTTCGTATGACAAAAAGTCCTTCGCATATTTCGAAGCGCAAAATAGAGAATTTCTGGCCGACGTCCGGCACGACATCTGTGTTGGATAAGCAATGAACTGATTACAAAAAGTTTAGAAAAAACATTTCGTGCGTTAAAATAGACAGCCCGAAAGAAATTGACCTTCAGATAGGTAGCAAAAGCCATATTGTCCCTTTGCAAGTAGTTGCTGTTGAGGTCATACTCCCGCGTAAGTGTTAAACGTTAGACAATAAGGAGAGAGCTATTAGATTTGGAAAAAAAATATTCAAGCATAAAGCAAGTTTTTTTATCTTTTCAAGTCGTCGTCAATCGATTTAATATATCTACATGACGGTTCACCACTGTTCGGTGAGGAGATTATTTCACCGAATGGTAAACGCCTTACACAATTTCTCGGAATACCGTTTGCCGAGCCACCTATAGGAAATCTAAGGTATCTACACAACAGTTTCTTTTTTCAACTCAACAAACAAATGGCTTTTATAACTTGCCGAGGAGCTTATTGCTGGTGTTGCAAGGATTTCGTTTTGTGTTCAGGTTCCGAAAACCGAAACCCAAACAACCATGGCGAATTCCTCTGAATGCCACCATTCCTCCAAATTCTTGCATACAGGTAGAAGTTCTATTGTATTATTAAAACGTTCTTTGAAAAAGTAAAAAAAATATGCTTGCATTTCTTTGCAAGTTATGAGAGAAATTAAAGGTCGTCTTAGAATATACAATATTTTGTTACCCCTTTCCCAACAGGTAATAATTAGCCATGTGCTTTCTTTGTATACAAGTTTATAGTTGCAAGTTAGCAAATCAATTGAACAAATCGATTTTATGCTCTCCTATAAAATATGAGACACTATTGGTTTTTATCAAGCCAAAAAGTTCTAGTCACAATCTTAACCTTTTCATTTATTGCCTATTCTTTTTTTAACGGTAGGGTATGTTGCCAAATATAACTTATATAATGCTGAGATATTTGCAAAACTCTGGACTGCAGGTGTCTATGGTGGGGAACGAACGCACTATTGCCCTTTCCGGAGAGTAACGCGTTCATCACCGCACCATGCGTGTCCTTCGCTTCGCCTGTCTCTCAGCTATTCCTATTGATCCTTGCCACAGCAATCACCCGCCAGCAGGATTGTTCTGGGGCCCCCAAATCGGCGTAGAACCCAGTTAAGCTGAACGCAGTATCTCAACACCATGCCAAATATGCGAATACCATGCCATGAGAAAGGAATAGTCAGTAAATAAAAAGTGATTACATTATCCCTTAAAAGTAGATTTGAGCAACAGTTCCATCCATGGATTCCTCGGATATTCGTGATCATCGTCACTGTATTCCACTATTTAGAATTCATTAATGAAATATTTTCGTTATGCAGACATTCGACCTCTGGCGTTATCATAGAATAAAATGGTGAATGAAGACCTTATTTGCGTTGGCGTGAAGGCTTTAGAACTCTTGGATGGAAACAAGAAAACCCTAACCGTTACTATAAATATACTCGAACATCTCTTACACATCTTGTATATTGATGTCAAAACTGTTGTTATAAGTTAACACATTCCTTTTTTTTGTAAATATCCATAATGATGAAGGATATGCAGTCACCATGATTTTATGTGCAAACATTATTTATTTCCTTAATTTATTCCCGATCTACCATAACGATCTATCTGGCATACTCACTAAGGAAGCCTAGTGGTTTTAAAAACCAACTAGTGGTTTCTTTTCAGAGTTTCGACACGTACTTCGGTGAATTTTACGGGGCAACGATGTGGAACGCGAACACACCAACATCGGAGGATTGTCTCTATATGAATATTTTCGTCCCTGGGAAAGTGAGTGGTTGTAATAACGACAACACTCTCATCAATCTTATCAACAGGAAGATAAAGTCTGTTTGTTTCTCTGTCGATTACTCATCTTGTCATTTTATTCTCTACGCGACAGGTTGATCCAAAAAAGCGCTTAGCAGTGATGCTGTGGGTTTATGGTGGTGGTTTTTGGTCTGGCACATCCACACTGGATGTATACGATGGACGAATTTTACCAGTGTAAGAAGTCTTGTTTCTACTTTTTATTCACTCTTTCGTGGTGCAATTAATTCTTGGTGAATTAATTTTAATGATTAAACACCTATTTAAATGGATATGTCAAATTTAAATGAATAAGCTACAGTAGTGCTCAAACAATGGAGTTTTTAAGCACCTTCTCTTTATAAAGTGATCTTCCCTATATAAATTTTAAACTGACTTACAAAATCGAGTGGTGATATCCTAGAGGTCAAGTAAGCACAGAAAGAGATCCTAGCATAAATTAACAGTTGTTGTTTCTCTCTTTTATCTGCTTCTATTTGATTAGCTAGAAAGAGAATATTCCAACAAAAAGAAGAAAACAACAAAATGAAAGACAAACAAGGATATTAACATCAGTCAAATGAGGAACGAAATCTGTCTCTTTAAATGGCACATAGTATGCATTTGTAAAAACGAAAGCTGAAATTTACTGTCAAGCAACTTAAGGAATTTTTTAAAAGTGGCATGTGGGCTCCTGTTTTGAACTAGAACAGATCTCATTACCAAGTCCATGCATTTTTATTTTCTTCCGACCACTTCGTTTTTTCTCTTGTTTTTCTTTTCCTCGGAAACTAGGTACATAATCTCTAACACTGCGTATAACTTTTCACTGCAAAGGAATTCATTCATACTGTCATCTAATCAACTTTTACATTTCGTGGAATTTTGGTCAAAGCTTTCACTCATTGTGCTTTAGCTCACCAGCATTTATCAAAGAGGGGATGCTTAGTAGGAAATCACTAGAATTTTATCTCAGCTTCCTAGAGTCAAATTTTCCCTACAATTTGTGACAATTCCTACAAGCATAGAATCTGAAACTTTACAGAGAAGAAAACATCATTCTTGTATCAATGAACTATCGTGTTTCGATGTTTGGATTCCTCTATCTTGGAAGACGTGAAGCGCCTGGTAATATGGGTCTCTGGGATCAGCAGTTAGCTCTAAAATGGGTTTGTTTTTACAATACAAGTGAGCAGTCTTGAAGTCGCCTAGGCAGACGTCACCATTATATGTTTATTATCTGAAGGCCTTTCTGAAAAATATCTGTTCTGAAAAATTTTAATTTTTCGATCACTTCAACTAATACAATGCACTAAGCAAACTGTCAGTTCTGAATCTCTTGGAAAGACTAATCTGTGGGATTCACTCCTTCTTATAGCACGCGGATGTATTACTATATAATATTTAGATAATTTATTGGATCCTCTATAAAAAAAAGTAGTTGTCACAGATTTTCAAGATATAAATTAATGATCTCTATAAGCGGTAGCTTGTAAATTAACTTGGTCACGGGCGTAATCGTTAAAGGCGGTTACTCGTAAAGATATATGGGTCTTCTTAGAGTGGTGAACAGTGCAGGAGGCTTAAAAGCGATTCCAACGTGCCTAGCACTTTCTTGAAGCAGACGTAAATACATGAGATAGTCCTTCTGTACTCTTCAGATTTGCTTACGCCATGTGCAAATATTCATATTTGTACATAATTGTGTTGACATGCTTCCATGTGTGTGAAATGCATTCCGTAAGATGTTGCATCCGTCTAAAAGCCTGAAATAAAGTGGCTTAAAAGAGCGTTGGAGGAAGTTTGTAGTCGTCCAGAAAAAAATATACCCCCTGTCATCAGGTTGCAGCCTTATCAAAAACTTTAATTATAACAAGGTTCTTAGGAAAAGCGTGTTTTGCCATTTTTAGGTGTCTATTTTTTGTAAGGCTTATCAAGCCTTCCTTCCCTCTGGTGTGGGTAAATTGGTGCCAGACTTATCTGGGAGCATAACAACACTGGCTCGATATATCGGTAATCCACCGCGAGTCATTGTAAGGGGCCAGATATGCATTCAATCACCTCCAACGATGTTTCATGAAGTCGGATGCTTAATGAATTTTTTAGGAATTAATCAACGTTAAAATCTTCATTCTTTTATCATTATTATATGTTCGATGTCATCATGTCCTTTCGACATAGTACATTCCGATGTCGAACATCGCTACACGTTCGTTTGTTGCACTAGCGATTTAAACCATCGATCATTGCGATGTTAGCTTCGTAGTAAATTCGTCCAGCTAAAGATATTCACTCACGAGACATCCGTCATGTTGTTGAGATTACATGTATTACTTGTCGTCCCAATAATCTTCAAGTGAATCGAGCTGGCATTAGTAAACCTTTCATTTCTCCCTGTGGCGTTTAAGAGTAGTTCAATGGATTCTGCTTGCTCTAAAGCCTCGTTGAGCATCGTATCTTTTTCCATAGTGTCTTAGTGAAGAGCTCCTACCATTGAAACCTTCCTGCAGTACATTGAAAATTTCCAGAAATCTACTCACAAACGGCTCTTGTATATGGGTTGCCGTTTATACGCATTACGCTTCCGACCCTCCTCATCTTCCACCATTTGGAGCATAGAATGGCATCTTTGATTTCCGATCGTTTGCGTAGGCTAGAGATTTGAATTAGTTCCATTACTTGTGTGACACGGGATACTCTTAACATCGTCCTTTCGACTCCTCCTTTAATAGCTCTGAGTTATCGCTTAGGCAGAGACCACGTTTCCGACGCATACGATAAGGAAACACGAATGGTGGGGTCTAAAAGGTGGGCGCGGAGTCGGGAGTTCTTTGTTTCTCTCAATACATCCTATTTTGTTCCATTCCAGTGTTCTCATAAAGTTTTCGTGGGTGGCGGTAAATAATTTTGGCGAGGTGCTATCAACTTGCCTAACCCCTCACTTGACGTCAATGTAGATATCGTTGTAGAATGGTGATATTTTGGTTGTGATATTTGTATGTAGCTCACTAAGGTTCTTTGAATACTGCGCGAGAACTTCGAGACTGTCCAGAGCTTCCATGACTGCTTTTATCTAAACTGAGGTAAAAGCTCTCCTTAAATCGGTACAAGTTTGACAAATACATCGTGGTGAATCTTTTTCGGACCCTTACTTGCTCACATGGCTATCCTTTGTCCAGCATTCTGCCAATGTATTTCAACCCGACTCGAGTGATACGTTTGTGGACCACAGACAGCAACCAGATTGGGCGATAGTTGCCGATACTATGGAGGTCACTCTTTCTGACAAATATCACAGTCATGCTGGTCTTCCCCTGAGTAGGGACCTTGCATTCAGATAGGCAACGTGTGAAGAGCCGAGCCAGTGTGTATACGAAGACTGGCGGAAAGTTCCTCAGGTGTTCTAATCCTATCGTGTCCAGACCTGGTGCTGTTCGATTTTTCACCGACGAAATGGAATGTCGGATTTCGGAAGGGAGAATTGGTGGTGCAACATATCCATCCTCCTTTATTTCAATTCTTTTTTCCGTTGCCTTTCTGGAAGCTGCAACTGTTAAAACTGGGCTAGGGATTGTAACGATCTCGGTTTTGTAATTGGCGACGTTTAGGTGGGCTTTGCCAGAAGTTTTGCCGTCCACTGCAGCTTCGACTAAAACTGCTATTTTTCTCTTATTAAGATCTTTTGTGTCTGCATTGTTTTACGTTCGGACGCTAGTTTTCGGTTGCCTGTTGCTCGTGTGATTCCACGTTGGCTTATCAGCTCGAGTGTTTTTTGAAGCAATTGTCTCCTGGTGATTTTCGAGGTTTCAATTTTCATAGCACTGCCATGAAGATGCTGAATGAACCGAATGCGTTCTTCGTCGATGTTACCTAGTCTGCGTCTTTCCAACAGACTACTATATTCAGTTGGGCATGTTCCAGTTCAGAGTGGTTTTGGGACTTGATTTTTTTTGATTTTTGCTGCTATTTCTCCTTTCTGAAAGAAATGAAATTCCCCACGAAGCTGAGACATTGGTCTAATCTCGTGTTGAATTTTGGCACAACAACAACATCGGTTAGCAAAACTTTCGCTTTGCTATGAAGTGGATTATCACGCTATTGTACCCTCCATCACCTTTCCGAGTAGAGAGTGGGAATTTTGGAATTGCTATCTACCATGAACGATCTTGGTCGCCCTGATAAACTAAGGCTCAGCCCGCTCGCTTCATTATAACCCGTGGGTCCCGATGTGATGTTTTTCAGACGCTCTTTTGGTTCCAAATTTAGAGTTGAAATTTTCAGTGATTATCTAAAGAAATGTATGATCTTCCAGTAGAAATTCCTATATCCGTTAAAAACATTTAAACTTCGTTTTTGTCATGGCCTGACGTCGGTGCGTATGAGACGTGGACTTTCAAAACAGGTATTAATGCACATATTTCCGATCGTAAGTGGTCGACTTGGGCTGCTATTTGCTTGATTGACTCGATGTTCATAACCAAACTCGTGCTTACGAGAACGCCAACGCCACCTACTCCTCCACTATCGCTTGCTTTGAGGAACTGTTCTTCTCCGAAGTCATGGGCGGCGTTGTATACTTGGCACCTTCTTGTCTCAGCCAGTCCAATTAAGTTATACCTTCTCCTTGTTCCTTGTATGATTAAGTCCTCTATCGAAATCAAATGGAAGTGGGCGTGCATTGTAGGTTGAAATCGTCATCTCAGTCCTTCACGATTTAAGTAACTTGCAATTGGCCTGAAATTTTAGCAGCCTTTCCTCACTAGTTGTACCCACCGCTACCGAATCGGAGACTTGTTCGGAGTCGGGAGAACGATGCACACTTATTGAACCGTTTAGCGTTTCATAACCATGTATAGCTTGTTCAGCTTTAAACGTGGAGGGTTGGTATACGGGTAGCTTGCTAACCTCTCCCAGAGTACATGGAGGAGTATCTGCTAGAGGCGACTCCCGACGGCCTCCTGTGTACTTCTCAGTCACTTGATTGCAGGCTTTCGCCCGAATTGACTCCTAAAATACAATCCGCATAGATAAGAACACACCAGCAAATGCATGCATGAATATCTTTTCGTAAATACAAAAGATACGAGTGAAATCGGCGTTGGAGAAACAAAGCGTCGTCGACGCCCTGGATCCATCTGTATCTCAGAGAAGCACAAGGTCGCTTCTAGTATGTTGTTAACCCCCTATCCGTCTCCTCGGAAGACGCCACGTTACCTCGCCTGTCACCGTCATAAAATCCCTCTATAAAGCAGATCCGTGATTATTATTGTTGAGATACACGTTAGCATCTCAGAAAATTCATGAACGAGGTGAAAATGTTATAGAGTGGAAAAGCGGCTTTATATATCTTTCCCATTTTTGAATTTATGCTTTTTTACAACTCAATGTATGAACCAATAGTCGTTTCAGGTGCACAAAAATATTGATGTTTTCGGGGGTGATCCTGAAAAGATATCCCTCTTTGGTGAATCAGCCGGTGCTGCGTCTGTGAATATGCATATGTTGAGCGCACACAGTACACCATATTTCCAGGTACGATTCATCGCTGCAGCATATAT